ACAATTTTGAATTGATACTGATTTCAAATGATTAAAGCCATGTAATAGTTATCCCATGCAACTGTTAGGAAGGGCGAAATTTTGAACGGAGGACGACAATCCTAAAGAAAAGGTGAAATTTCTAAAGGGGGGCGAATTTCCTAAAGGGGGGCGAAAATGTAGGAGGGGCGAAAATCCTGGGACACCGGAATAATCACTGAATACATACGCCATCAAAACACGTCAATAAAAGAACGGGAAAACCGTCAGCACACACACCTTCAAATACTTGCGGTACGGTAAAGTACCCCAAAGTTTCTAGCAAAGGCCCTTCGTCGGGAGGTTCTAGTAGTGAAACATCGAAGTTCTCTTTGTATTTTTCAGGTAGTTGTATCCCTATCAACCCAAAGCTTTCTTATTAGGCCTAAAAAAAATACCTGTGGTCCCGGTTTCATATCGTGAAAAAATTAGGGTCGGTAGGTTGGAAAAAAAAATTTTTGAATATTTTTTTCATGGTTTTGGCGGTTTTTTGCTGGGCAATTTGCAGTAGAGTCCCGACATCAATCTAGAGATGCGTATTTCCTATGGACAAATTTAGGCAATTTGGTTCAATAATTAATGTGACAACAGACGCCATTTTGGCACGCTGTATGAGCAGACCGCAACCACCTGGAGAAAATAGGGTCACACGGTCAATCGCGTTGAAAAAATAATAGGGTCGGCAAAAAAAATAGGGTCGGTCGGGAACCGGAACCACAGGTATTTTTTTTACGCTCTACCTACACTGGCTCAAGATGGTTCAAGATTATACAAATCTATCATACAATTTACTCTACAAACTATATTTTTCAAAACACCAGACCTGGTCCTTCGATCGTTGCTTGAATATTGGTAATATCATCGTCGCTCGTGAAAACCTTAATTCCTTCGGGTGGGCTGGTGGCTAACTCTTGTAATTCCTTGGCGACACGTTTGATAATTTGAGGAGAAAAATTCTCCACATTATTCGACAGCTAAAACCGACAAAAAGTTGGATTAGTATATGGGTTTCTCTATAAAGCCAGTCATACATACCCTGCTATTCACAGTATTATTTACTTTGCTCGCTCTCAGTAAAATAGGCTCTGAATAGTGGGTGCCGGCAGTTATCAAAGTACGGAAATATCATTTTCATTATACATACAAATCTTGTATTTTCTGGTAAATAGAGAAAATTCAAATGTGTACTTCAATTTTCTTGTTTTTTTATATATCAAGCATGTAAGCATGTTGAATCTAAATGAATATAAAAACATCAGCTGCCCTCAATAACTTCAGATCTGCTTGTTCTCTAATAAACCCATTTTACTTTCTTCTGAAATAGTCTAATTCGTAAGTTAAAGTTGTGCTGGGAAAATAAAAGTGGATTTATTATAAGAACTAGGCAGGTCAAGACAGCAATACTAAACCAGGGTCGTATAAGTTTATCATTAAAAACACAGCAATATTTAACGCGATTTCTTTAAAAAAATAAACTTCTAATAGTAAATTACTTACTGAAGTCATTACTCTGTTTATTTAAGTTGTTTTCCCTGTAAAAATCACAAGAAATACCAAAGAATTTCGCTTCTTCGAAATAAACGAATTTTACAAATTCGAGGAAGAACCGTCGAATACTAATGTTAATTGTTGTTTGTTTTTGTCACCAATAAGAACGCGAGGATTTTTTGAATTGACCAATCATCGCAACGCATTCGTTAGGAATTTCGAAATTCACAGCGTCGTCCCCAGGCCTCCACCCGCGTGCAACTTTCATTTTCTTTCTCGTGCCCAGTCTTTTTTTGTGTGTCAAGTTAAGGGGGCTCTGCATTCCAATGTTGGTTATATGTTTTTTTGGGTTTTTTTGTTGTTTTTTTTTAAATTAATATTTAATTTCAGGAAGCTTTCTCACAAAGTGATTTTCAGAAAGGTCCTGAACTAGGTAAACTATTATACAAGAAAGACATGCATATACTACATAACTATGAAAAATATTAAAAAATTATACGAGGGAAAGTTCAAAGATTGCTAAAAAAGTTTCTCTTAAATGTAGAAATAATAGTAGATAGTTTTATCTTTCTGTCCAAGTTGTTCCAGTCTGTTATGGCCTGATAAGCGAGTTTCTGCATTAAATGTTTCCGGGTTTTGAAAAAAAAGCTACAAATGTTTCCGATTTTTGAAATTTCAATTCGCTTGCAATTTCTATTGGAAAAAATTTCGCTTCATCATCACAATCCAATTTCCAAATTTAAAAAAAGCACAATGACGTTTTGCTGTCATAAACCTGCTACAGTATATTATTACGGTCGAGATTAGCAGTTACGTCACCTCAACATCGCATGTGCTAGCCCATATATTTCAAGCCTTAAATTGCGAGTTTTTCATAAAAAAACATAACATTCTTCTTCTATTGACGAAAGCAGAGGTGACGGAGGATAGACAACGCAAAATAATAATTTCCCTTCGATAAATACCACAGGGGGCCCCACTATGAGTTATGATTGAAATAATATTGTATTTATTTTTAAAAACCTACTTGAATCCCTTGATAATCGATTATTTCTTCTCTCGAAATTCTGTAAACATTTTAAACTGCTTGAATCCATTATACTATCACTCTACATGAAGTATAGATGATCGCTGACAAGTAAGAACGCGGGCGCGAAAATACGAAGGCGGCAAAAGAAGGAAGAAGTTTAATTCTTCCTTCTTTTGCCGCCTTCGTATTTTCGCGCCCGCGTTCTTACTTGTCAGCGATCATCTATACTTCATGTAGAGTGATAGTATAATGGATTCAAGCAGTTTAAAATGTTTACAGAATTTCGAGAGAAGAAATAATCGATTATCAAGGGATTCAAGTAGGTTTTTAAAAATAAATACAATATTATTTCAATCATAACTCATAGTGGGGCCCCCTGTGTTTTGGAAGCATATTATCTATTTTTATCCTGACGTATTCTCGTGACTCGGACGCGCCAAAGACAAACAGGTTATTCCCACGTTTTTTAGCCAATCAGAATGTAGGATTTCAATTCCGGTTGGATAATATCGGCAATTACGCATGCGTAGTACAATGTTTACGTTCAAACCGGTTTTCCCCTGACAATGTTGTTTTGAAAATGAGATTGATCTTTGATTTCACACAAAAGATTAATTTCAGACGTAGAAGAATAGGCAGGAAGAAGCCCTTGCAGAACGGTAATTGTAGTCGTAAACGCTGTATACCGTTAAATCCGTAAAGATTGAATAATCGCCGAAAGTCCTGAAAGATTTCACGCATTAAACCGTGAAAATTTGGCGTGATTCAAGCCGAAGGGAGCGCAAGTTGTTGACAGATATTTACAGTAAATTTTTGTACACACGCCAAGAAATCGTTTGCGATCTCAGATTTTCACATGGTTTTAAACAATGCAATCGATTCTAAGGAAGACGGAGCAGATATTCCGAAAAGGTTTGTGATTTTCAGGGCTTTTATGTTAAAATATTGTAGAGATTTTTGAAATTGCGTGTCGCGCAAATTAACATCAAGAGATGTCAAACAGATTAGGTTTGGGCCCGTTTATGGTCCTGTCGTCTGTAAATCATTGTTTAAAGTATAAACTCAGCTAAATAGCGAGCGCATGGAGAAATAAACGCAGCATTTATGCAGAATATTCAGATGTAAATAGTTGTTAAATGTTTAAAAGCAAGTAAATGGACACTAACTTTTAATTATATTTTGCTAAAAGCGCGACTGTCTGGGAATTTGACACTAGCAAGCATTAGGAAAGTATAAAATGCGTAACCAAATGTGCATTGTTTACATTGGGTAGTGATGTTTGCGGTGAAACGTTTGCAAAAACAACATGTTTATGGTCAAAAGTGAAAACAAGATATTTGATTCTGTGCGTATGTCACGTATTTGTATGGTATTGTGTATCAGATGCTACTAAGTTAATATGTTAATATTAACAAGAAGTTAATACTCGTATTAAATTTCTATTTGTATCCTAGCTTTGTTATACTTAATAGTGTATACAAGGGAGAACCTCGGCAAGGAATTGCACTTCACATTGCAAACCTTAGAGTATACTTGTATATACTTGATGAAACCAACTTCAACATAGTCAGTTTGTGTAGTCCGTGTTTATTTGTTGCCTAAGTTGCACTGTCAAGACGATACAATGTTGACGATGTAATGTTGACGATGTAGCATATAGTTGGGAGCATAAAGGCCGGTTTCCATTGCAGTCGTTTTGCCCGTGCGGGCGGAGCAGGCTTTGAAAATCTGCTGATGCGGGCATGACGGACGTAAAAAACAATACATGCTTCGCCCGCGCAGGCAAAGCGAACGTTAATGGAAAACAGCCTTTTAGGCATATTATGGTTTAACAACTTTGTTATTTTACGTTGTCTAATGGCAGACAGTTCTACCCCACACCAGGAAAATGTTAGCGTTAACATGTTAACTAGACTATCTGCCCCACTGGCAGATCTAGTTTCTTTTGCAAGGAGGGGTGCAGGTTTTCCATGGGGTGGTGCATGAGGGAGCCTTACTGCCCACTCTCCTCTGCAGTCTGCAATGCTACTATCCCAACATCATTATTTGAGATGGCCGAAGTAATTGGTTTAGCTTACAAACTTCTAACATGTAAGAATCTTTTTTCAGCAAAGGCATGGAAAATACAGTGAACAATCCAGAAGAGAATCCCAGTCTAGCTTCAAAAATGTCAGATAATTCATCAGAAGCAGACTTTGCACCTCAAACTGTCGTAACCTGGATGATGGTGTCAGTTGCTGTTGGTTTGTTGACCATTTACACCATGATACAATTGATATCTAACAAATTAACACAAGTAAGTACAATGATCTGTGAAAAGATCCACATACTGTACTCAAGATACAGATATTAGATAGCAAAGATTTACAATGTCGACATCAGCTGGGATGCCCAGGCTGAGCAGAGAACTTAGGACTACAACATCTTTCTATTCTATGATGTCAAATATCTAGGATGGCAAGTGGAAGTAAACTGGTAATATTTTTTGAAGTGCGCATGTTGTCTCTCTCAATTGCTCGTCATCCTCCAAACATCGACAATGTCACAACAAGAGTTTTGCTGTTGTCATTACAAGAGCATAACAAACAATAATGAATTAATGAGTCTCTTTAAAATTCATTTTCAAAAAGATGTAAATATTTATAGTTTATTTGTTTAGGACGTCCTAGTCCCAGTCCTCTACTCAGCCCTAACGCCCTAGCTGACGTCATCTATCTATTATGTACATATCATAAATAATGCTAGCTTCTGGATAATTATATAAAAAAAATACCATTAAAAAACATTTTCCCTTGAAAAGTAAAGTATCTAAGGTGAAGAATTAGTAAAATAATAAAAGACTGTGAACTCAAAACTAGTTGATATTTTTAACTAATTGGTATTTTTACTACTCAATTTTTACAAAGAGAAGAAATCATTACCGATACGATACCGTCGGTACACAATGTAAGAAAACATTACACAATGGTTGAACAATCTTTTTATTAATATAGGAAATTGAGCATGGTAAGAAAACAGAGGGACAAGTTAACCAACAACACAAAAACACAACAGACCTCTCAAACCACACAGGTGGCAAGCACAATGCCACAGATTCTGACAATGATTTGGAAACACCCAAAGAAAATGGGAATCAATCTGATAATATTTATAAAGGTAGTAAGAAAACGGGAGAGAGTGACGGTGATTTGTTACACAAAAATTTGACGAGTCCTGAAGATGATACATTAAATGCAGAGAAGAGTGACTTCGATACTTCTGAGAATGTGGAAGAATTAGAGAATGATGGTAGTTGTGTGGAACGTACTGAATGTACAGAATGTCAAAGTAATGGTCACGCGACGTCCATTCACATGGGAGCAGGGTTTTCTGGTAATGTGAGCATAAGAACAGAAGCTTCTACAGAAAACGGAGATCTTGTATGTTGCAAAATAGATTCCAACACTGCAGAGAATGTACCAAACTGCCGAAGCGCAGCAACATTAGAGAATTGCAATGTAAACCACATCGCTCCTGTGACAGTGAACTATTTACAAACCAAATGTTTCTCGTGCAATGCTGAAATACCCCGAAATACTGAAGCACCAACTCATCCAGTGAAACAAATTCCAGGCTCCAATAAACTTCTTGACACTACAGAACTATCGGAAGATCTCGCCGGCGCGAAACTAGATGACGAGATCCCTACAGAAAACAAGATTGAAAGTCCAGTTAACCATCCACCCTGCACCATTGCGTGTATGCAAACCACTGTGAAAAGTTTAAGCTGTGTTACACGCAATGACGTACCAGAATTATCATTACAACTTCACTTGTCAGACTGGAATAAACCAAACGAAATTTCACAGTCACGTTTCCACGCACACTTTGGTTTGGAAGACAATTTAAATCCATGTCAAATACAAGACAACCAAATTAACAAAGCTGAAATGCCATTTGATGCAGAGAATATTGACTTACTCCACACTACACAATCAAATGTCTGCACTGAAAATAAAGCCGCCACAAAAACAGTATCGGATTCTTTAAGCTTTTTGGCAGGTCATCACTCGCCTCAGGAAACAATAGATGGCGCAATCTTCTCAAAAAACTCTTCTCAAGATGAATTCATGTTTCCGCAAGATAATGCAACTGCAACAGAAGCGCAGTTTACAACCACAGAGGAACCGGAAACACCAAGATCCAGATATCTCAGGTATATCCGAGATGACCCGGCCCTTTCAAAGTCTTTGGATTCACAAATGGAAATTTTGAAGAAAGGATGTAAACTTCTTGAGAAAAAACCAGCTAAAAGTGCGCTAAGAACTTCAGGATCCGAAGAATGTTTGGTAAGTCAGGAAAAGTTTCTTTGTGTAATTTACAAAAATATGAGAAACCATTATAATGGTTTGTGGTAACACTCCCAGATTTACAGTCTACAGTCTTTTTTGTCGTGAATAATCTTTTAAATACAATCTGTATTCTCACTACCTTTTCAAACCTGAATCTACTTTTGATGTCAATCGAATGCGCACTTGGAAGATTTATTGTTCCAAGTGTCGTTCCTACAACCCAACTTGTTGCTCTTATTAATAGGTTAATTTCATGGACGTTTCATGTTAATATTTGTTCAAATATATCAGTTACCGGTGGTAATGTGTGTTCGTGTCTTTAAATATATGTCATAACTATTGCTGTCTTTCTTGGGCTTGTTCTTAATATGGGATTCTTCTCCTGATGACAAAACCAATTCAACCTTATTTTTCCTTCATCTAAGTATCTACTCTTAAATTTAATATCTCTTTTGTTTGTGATGTTACTCTGAGTGTGCATCCACACAGGGTCTTAGCTAGAGGGATTAATTAAATAAGGCCGTGTAGGTTCATAAAATAAGGTGTTACTGCTTACAACAGACAGCATTTCTTCCCATTTTCGTTGTAAGAAAGTTTCTAAAATCTACTGTAATTGATCAAATTGGAAAAAGTGATCTGTGATGTTTTAATGTTTTGATGGATGATGGGAACCATATGGTATTATATAAAATGGTTTTAAATACCCCCAAGAGTTGCTGAAAAAACTTAATATTTTAATGTCAGTACGCAATGTGAGCGTAGCCTTGTATTTGGTTGCAAAGCCTACAACAACCACAGGCATTGTCTGTTGTTGGCGAGCATAACTAGAAATACGCACACCCAGGTCATTTAGAAACACGCCCAAGATCTAAAATCCTAGCTAAGACCCTGCATCCACATCAGGCAAGCTGAAAAGTTTGCCTGACCACTGTGGGAATCGAATCCGCGACCTTTGGGATACTAGATAAAAAAATCTTAATATCTATTTGTTCATGCATGTATAAAAATCTTTTTTAACTTTATTGGAAATATTAACAATAACAATAAAAGGTATTGCCCAAAAGGAAAAGTGCGAACGAGTCAGAAAAAAGCCCATGCGAGGCACTTCCCTTATAAACTTTACAATTATATTTACATTACACTATAAATTATAGTTGAGGTGAAGCTCGATTTGCGCATACCCACAAAACAACCCAAAAGGTTGTATAATAAATAAATACAAAGTCTTTTTCGTCACGTAATTTTACAGTAAAACCAGTCAACGTAGTACTTATAATAATGTTTTGATTTTTTTTTAGAAAAAATTCGTACATTTTCCACCAGACATTCGTAACATTCGCAAGGTGCATAAATACGACAGTTTTGACGAAAGTTGCTTTGATGTTGAAGATTCTGCAAGCAACGCAGAGAAACAACGAACACAAAGTCAAAGTTTTGACATTTTTTTGAGGAAATGAAGTGGAAATGTATTGAATGAAAACTTCCTCTCCGAAAGGAATGTATTTTGGTGTCGGACGAGTCTTGAAACTGAAAATTAAATAGCTTGTCTGTACTGTAGTGAATACTGCTGTTATAGAAGCTTTGTATATGACTATATTTTCAATGTGAGTTATAATTATTTTTTTGAGGTGGACGAAATTTATACTGTTGTTACATTTGGATATAATAATTAATATATAGTTTTGTATATTTTATCAATATCAGTATATTCTGTAAGATTGTAAATTTGTTGAAAGCGGCTCAAAGCTTAACAATGGCGTTTATGCCAATTATGTTAATTTTTCGGTATAAAATTATTTGGTAAAATTAAAACGTTTCTATTTTTCATCTGAAATCTAATTGTTCTATTCTTTCCGTTCTATCTATTATTTCTATGATTCTACCCCATTATCTATTCTATTCAATTGATCTATACTTTTCTATCACAAATTTACAATTCCTAGAAAATTCTGTGCTTTCAAATTCTATTCTCCAGTTCGTGGTTTTAAATAGAGCTCAGTGAATATTAGTTCGGAAACTGATCGTATAAAGCCGTAATCCTTTCGGACTCTCGTCGTTTTCCGAAGTTTTGTCTCTGCTGATCTAATTTATGCAGTATCGAAGGCGCTAATTTTTTTTACCTCAACAAAATTCCGAATCGCATGCTTTCTATATTTCCTTTGTTTAAAAATGCTTTCTCAAGCGCAATTACTCGACGAATTGATGGGCAGGGACCGAAATTTAGCCCCTCAAGAAAAGAAGTCAAGTTTACATTGGTCTGACCCGAGTGTAAGTATGAATTTTAGCAAAAAATTGGCACAGAAAATATGAAATTATAAATTCAATATGGCGCCAATTATTGAATTTTCTATGATGACTTTTGTAGGTTTGTAAAATGTATATCGCTGGGTTTTGTCCGCATGATTTATTTACTAATACAAGATCTGATTTAGGTAAGTTTTTGATAGATGACTTGAGCTGCAGCCTGTGCTATTGTAGGCAGTGCAAATCATAACCTCGCTGGAAAGTTTGGAAATTGCACAACCGAGATTTTGAAAATTTAATAGTAAATATATAGAAAGCATCAAAATTGTGCGCCTAATATATTGGTTGCGCGATACAAACTTTCCACACTGGGCATCGGATTGATAGGGATACGACTACCTGAAAAATACAACGAGAATTTTGACGTTTCAAGTGAACTTCTCAAAGAAGGGCTTTTCACTTGAAACATTGATGTTCTCCTTGTATTTTTCCGGCAGTTTTGTCCCAGTCTTCCTGACTGGAAAGTTTGGGAATTGACCACCTAAAATATAAAAACAAATAGTAAATACACAGAAAGCATCAAAATTATGTGCCCAATTTATTGGATGCATGATACAAACGTTCCAATGCTGTGCTGAGTGGTTATATAACCACACAGCATTTTCACATTGGTACTACCTACACTGGTACAGACAGTTTTAGTATACAAATGTTCCACACTTTTCTACGGCCATCGGCTAATCTGTAGTGTGATGGTTAGCACTTTGGGTGTTGAATCTAACAATTTAAATAAGGAACTGAAAACTGGTGTCAGTTTCACTAAATTTTGTTTTACCTTTTTTAGGATTTTGTGAAAAATTGCATGATGACAAATTGCGAGATGAGTAAGTGACTTATCTGTTAGGATTTGCGCGTCTACACTTGATAGAACTATTGTAGATTTTGTAGATGGAAGTTTTGAGTTTGAATTTTATACATTTATTAGACCTAACCAGTCGCAATGGGCAATTCCAGCTATAGACTAAATTTTGATCTAGGCAAGAAGAACAAAATCCATCACCACAGCTAAAAAGAGCATGTTAAAATGAGTAAATTTGCAATGTTTGGTTGCAAAATGTTGGAAAATGCTGAAAATATAGCCCTACGAAATTTGCAAATTTTGTATTAATTTGTATTGCACGCAGGAATTTGCACCACTTTTGGCCGAAATGGTGTATTTTCCCCCATGCATAATACAAATTTAATACAAAATTTGCAAATTTCGTAGGGCTATATTTTCAGCATTTTACAACATTTTGCAACCAAACATTGCAAATTTACTAATTTTAACATGCTCTTTCTAGCTGTGGTGATGGATTTTGTTCTTCTTGCCTAGATCAACATTTAGTCTATAGCTGGATTTGCCCATTATGAAAAATGCAAGTAAAGGCCCTCTGGCAGGAATTGAACCTGTGGCCCTGCAATTTTGATGCTTTAAATTAATGTATAAAATTTGCAATTTCCATCTAGAGAACCTTCTACAATTACATGTACCTGTTAGTGTGTACTGTGCAGTATTAGAGCTTTCCTCTGGGATATCCAATTCTCTGCAGGGTGTTAGCCAGGATTTCAAAAGTGGCCGTCCAAAATAATTTTGTTGGCGTGGTCACATGTTGTTGGGCGTGGTCGCAATTTTTTGTTGTTGTGGAATTGTGGTGTTCTATTCGTTGAACCTTTTTACTTTTAGTTTTAGATGCACATTTCAGTTATTAAATTAGTAAAAGCACACATATGGTTTGAACCGTATGATCACTACGATGTTCTGGCTACAGTATATGCTATAATGAGAACACAATACAACAGTGTAGTGTTTGGTTATTTTTTATCAATCGCCAATATTTTTTCCCTTTTTTGATGCGTTTGGCTCATTTTATAGCCATCTTTACCGCAACTGTAACTTTAAAGCAGTGTGGTGCTCAAGTGATAAAGCGATTGCTGTTTTTCAAACCGGCGGTTTCAAATTATTCTCCTTGATACTTCATGCAAGAATCTGCATGGTTACAAAAACATGGCACGTTTGTCGGTACTTCAATCCAGGCATATTCAATGTGTTTTTGAGGGAGAAAGGTATGAAAACATACACCATAAGTAAAGTAAACAGCAGATGATAACAATTCTAAGTATTCAAGAGATATTACAAAGCTTGTAAATTGCTATTTAAAGAAAATATTCCCTTAGGCCGTCCATGACCGTCCAT